CTCCCAATCTTCAGTAGAGTTAGAGTCCACAGGGACTTCTTGTCAGTCTTCAGGATTGAGAAAATGTGATGACTCCTCCAGGAAGATTCATTTGCAGGAAGTAGAGAAATGATTGATGGGTGGACAAAATTTGTTTAGATACTGACCACATCAGTAAGGAGATATTATGAAAATATCAGCATTATTGCCTTTGCTTTTCCTACTAGCTTCTCAAAGCATCATCATCATCATCATCATCATCATCATCATCATCATCATCAAAGAAAATAACTCCTGGCAGAATCAAAAGTAAATGAATAAAGTAAGAAAACTTGTTTTGGGTACCTAACTATCAAGCTATCAATGATGACTAAAGATGAATCATTTGAGCAGAAATGAAAAGGTTAGGGAATCTCAATAGAATTTGACATCAGTTATTAACTTTGTTATCTTTTCAATTATTTAACAAATATTTATTGAATGCCTACTATGCATTAGACATTCCTCTTTTTAGTTCAAGGAACACACACATGCATTAAAAAATATGGTCTCTGCTTTGATCAAACTTATCCTCTAATCAGGGGAGAAACACTCTAAGCTAGTAAACAGGCAAATAAGGCAATTACAGAACGTTTTACATGCTTTATAAAGCAAGATGATGCAATAAGGTAAGTGGTGGGCTCCTTTATGGAAGGTAAAAATCAAGAGCGGGGTGAGTCTGGAAGAATAAGGTGGAGTCAGACATGGGATAAATTGGACTGAGAATTATTATTCCAGGCAGAAGAAGGTAAAACAAAATCTTGGAATGGTGAAGAGTTTGGCTTCTTTGAGGATGAAGAAGGAAACCAATGGAGTTAAAGTTGCGTGGATATTGGGCCAGCTCTTCGAAATGAGGCTAGAGAAGAAGAAATGGGCCAGTTCATATGGAAACATGGTTATTCATAGCAAGAGAGGATGATGGTTCAGACTTGGGAGATACTTACAGGAAATAGAAAGCTGTAAATGAATTGGGTATGTGTGTTGGAGGTAGAAAATACAGAACTTGTGGTTAAATTAAATATAAGAGTATGACAAAAATAAATGAAGGATGATTCTTAAGTTTTTGGCTTAAACATTGGGTGAATCATGAAATCATATACTGAAATTGGAGAGACATCATAAGGATCTAATTAGGAGAGGGAAATTAAGAGTTGTCATTTGGGAATACTAAAATTAAAAAATATATTAGATATCCAAATAGAAGTGTGAGGCAGGCAATTGGAAATTTAAAACTCTATAGAGCTCAGCAAAGAGGTCACTAGCCTATAGATTTTTTTTTTTTTTCCCTAAAGGAAAGAATTATTGAATTTAAGGATTTTAAGGCAGGAGAAAGATTGAGATTGAATGATAACACTTAGAGAATGAATGGGGTTAAAGAGGAGAGGCAGGAACAGAGCTATGAAAACAAATAGAGAGAGAATGGGCAGAGGGAGAGCCAGCAAGGAAGTTGAGGGGAAGTAATCAGAAAGAAAGGAGAAATTCCAGAAGACCACGGAAGCCAGAATATCCATAATGCTGAAAGGTCAAACTAGATGAGAGGCAAGAGTTTAGGAATACAATGTTTTTTGAGGACAAATGCTAGGTTGGAGTGGGTTGAAAGTGACTGAGACATGAGGAAATAAAGGCAAATGTGGACAACTGTTTTGAGAAATTTCACTAAAAGGGAGAAAGGAAAATGTTTTTTTTTTTTTTTTTTTTTAAAGATAAGATACTTGAGTTTGGTGGAAGTGTGTTATTCTTCTTGGCCTAAAATTCCTTTAATTATGAATTATGGAATTACGACTCTTGGTGGGAGGCAGAGACTTTTTTCTATTGTATGAACTGAAAATGCCAGACACTCATTTCTCTAGCTTCCCTATCAGGTAAGGTGTGGACATGACTTCACCAATAAGATGTATCCACTCAGATGGGGGGGAATCTGGAGCTAGGGTGGAAGCAAGTGGGGATTAGGAGAAACAATTTCTGGTGCAGTGGTGTTTGTAGTAAGCTTGAGTTTGTGGGGGCAATATTGCCTATGGTGCTTATGACAGATTCTAGGATGGTGTTACCGCCTGCAGTGTCCTTTTAATGGTGTTTTTGCTTAAATCAGTCCAGTTTGTTGGTTTCTTCATGACAACTAAGAAATTATTTGCAAGACATGTATGCTGATGAAGATCAACAGAGAAGGAGAAATGGATGATACAGAAGATAAGTGAAAAAAGGAATGCATAGCAAGGAAGAGAGATAGGATTCAAAGTATGTTAATATTTAGTTGAAATAGTTATATCCATAGGCGGATATTGAACAAGGACCTGAGTACTCACCATATGCTAAGGTACCATGGAAGAGAGATGGTCCCTTGTTCTAAAAGTTAGAGCAATGATTCTCAGGTATTAATGTGCATATGAATCACCTGGGAATTTTGCTAAAATGCAAATTCTGAAATTCTGCATTTCGAATAAACTCTCAGGCGATGCTGATAGATGCCACTCTACTGATTGTTGGACATTTTGAGTAGTAAAGCTTTGAAGGATATAAGAAATGATAAAAACTAAACCTTAGAGTCTGTGTGGCTGGGAGAATGGCTAGCAATAGAAATACTAGGGAATACAGGGAGAGAACAAATGAGTTTGGTTGGGGATTGGAGTTTGAGGGGCTGATGCTATCTACCTGCAAATTCTTGTATAAGAGTGATTGCAATTTGGGCTCTTGATATTTAAACTGGACAGTCATATACAAACAAGAAAACTGAAGTTTGGTAAGTAAATGAGAATGGAATATAGAAAGTAGTCTGTAGGTATAAACTTGAAGAATACTTACTCCCTTTGAAGAATGAGCCAAAAGAACTAGAGCTATTAGTGTAGTGTTTTCCACTGTTTTAGGAGATGGGAAAGATAAAAACTAAAGACTACAAGATTAACATCAAAACTGGATAAAATTTTAGCATTCTTTTAAATATTAGATTTTAGGGTTTAATTTCAAGGGATTGTAGTAATATCTGAAAAAGAGCAATAAAAGAAATAAAATTATGCATGTGTTTGTGATTTAAACAATTCTTAGGGAACCCAATTACAAGGTTACCTAACAAAATGCCTTTTTCTTCTCTATACCAAAAACACATGTTTTCTAAAGAACAGGAGAATGAATCCCCAATAAAACTCTGTTTTGAATTTACAATTTTAAGGAAAAGTAAATGAATGCGGTTTGTTTATGTTTAGCTAATGAATTCACAAGCAGATGTTTGACGTCAACACTGCCATTTTCAGTATAATGTGTACAAGTGAAGGGAACGGTTTTGACATGTTATCAATACTGTCGTTTTATCAAAAGTAACATGCCAGAATGCGTTTGTTCTAAAAGGGCATTGACTGCCAATGAAATGTTTTTGTTCAATCACAAAATTTTAAGATTTTTACAGGTCTAAACTTAGAGATGGGCTAAAAAAAGTTATTTAATAAAAAAAGTTGATGGATAAAACCATTAAATATTATTCTGCTGACATTATGACCAGGCAGTGGGCATAATTGGATCTTAAACCTTTTTTAAAAGGCATATTCGATGGAGATCATTTTGCTTGCATCACTTATGTTCTGTGAAATTTTCTAGTTGACTGTATTTTTACATTGATTACTGTATTCACATAGAAAACAGCTCCTATCTTGGGTAAGGTTACCTGGAAAATATGGCTATTGATACTAAAATATCCCAAGTATCTCTTTGATGACAGAATAGAGAGGGTTTTGGAACAGTGTAAATGAAATCATTGCGTTCAATCTCCTACTTTAGCTTTATTCTATACCAGTGCCAGTCTGCCCCATTGGCCAGTTATCTCACAAACGAGTGGAAGAAGTTATTTCCCCAAAGGGTTACCAGTTATAGGAGGGGCTTTAGGGGCAATTCATTGGACAATGTCTTTACTATCTTCCTTTTACTTAAGGCTATGTATCTCAAGAATCTCTTTTCCATAACCAAATAAAGACAAAACAAGGGGAAAGTTCTGTGAGAAGACAAGGAAGGACAAGAAAGGTATGATAGAGGTAACCTTTTAATTAGGTCTTGAGAGGTAAAGAAAGGTAAGTTCATGGAAAAGTGTCAGTCAGGATTTGGGCATGCTACTTCTGTGTCTAACCTTTTACGTGGGTATAGGTAGCAGAAGGGCAGAAGTTGGAACTTTCTAGTTCTGAGGACAAAGTTAGATATGCCGGATATTTAATAACAGATTCAAGATTTCTAGTTTACCAGAGAATAGTCAAGACTTGCAGTTTAATTGGGTTCAACAAACACTTACTGGGTACCTTAAGTGGTAGATTTGGCAAGTTTTCTTTGGCCTTACCGAATTTATGAGCAAAACACTGCAGATGTTAAGTAGTTTTATTTAAGTCACATACTTAAGTATTATATATTACTTCCATCTTGAGAACAAATATTTAAGCATTGTTCTACTAATTTCTAAACCCACTGCCTACTTTTATGGTGTACCTGAAATCCATTTCTACTTATTATAGTCATATAATTTGGAAATAAAAAATGATGACAATTTTATTTAAAAAACTGCACATAAGGCTAATTTTTAAAAAATAAGGTGGGTTATTGCTAAAATAATTTTTAGAATTTCATAATAAAGATACATTTGACTGATGTTATGGACTTAATTGTAACCCTCCAAAATTCTTATGTCGAAGATGTAACATCCAATATGATGGAGGTGGGGTCTTTGGAGGTAATTAGGTTTAGATGACGGTATGGTGGCGCCCTCTATTAGTATCTTTGGAAGAAGACAAAGAAAGACCAGAGTTCAATTGCTCTCACTCTACCTACTATGCAAGGACCCAGTGGGAAGGTAGCCATCTACAGGCCATAGAAAGGGTCCTCATCAGGAACTAAATCTGCCAGCACTTTGATTTCGAATTTCCTTGCATCCAGAACTGTAATAAATGTCTATTGTTTAAGCCAGTCCATGGAATTTCATTAGAGCAGCCCGAGTTCACTAAGACAACCACCAATTAATAGAAAAGTACCCTTTTATTGAGAGGTAAGACAAGTGTATTTACAATATTCAATTGTTAGATCATATAATCTGACTGTGAGACTTTTTAAGCAGCAGTATTTCAGGAATTACAATTTATAAGGGGAAAAGAAAAACATTCCAAATAGGTTTCTGTTACAGAAAATATATTTGAACAATGCCAGAAACGCTTAAGGCTAAGTAGAATTAGACTTTTTCTTCCATCTTCATAGCAATAACCAATGCTTTTTGTTTTTTTCACTAAGACTGCTAATTTTGGAAAAGAAACAATACTTTTTAGAAAAACTGAAAGAAATGGTACTCCTTTTAGTCAGAGGACTAATGTTTAAAAATAGCGCCTCATCAATGGTCCTGAATAAGAAATATACAATGCTGCTATGCAGTCCCAAACTCACATTTGAGATTAACCATAGACTTGTTTAAAACCGAGAACTGCTCCAGCCTCTCAGTCTTACTAAGGATCGGGAGATTAGCGAATCTTTCACACTTCTGCTTGATAATAAGATTGTTGAAAAAGAGATCTCTGTTACAGTGCAAAGAACATTTTGATAGAAATTCATGTCTACAAAGGAGTTAAATAATACAGATGTTCCTTGCATTAACAGATTCTGTTCTTGCTCAAAAGGTAGAATTAGCTAGCCATTTTAAATAATATGGGTCAGTCAAAAATATGTATAACAGAATCTTACAGGGCAACTTGTATAAGTCAATCCCCAAAATAGGTATATATTTGACACTCTCCAAGTGAGGATATTACTCTTTTGAATAACATTAGATACAACACTAGGTCTCTTATTATTCCATGAACTATTGAGGTAGTAGTCTCATTTTGTCAATATCATCTATTTTTTTCACAGATTATGTCATGGTTAAATGCCAGCATCAAAAGACAGTAATCCACAAGACTGAACCGTTAGACTATCTACCAAAGACTTTCCTTCTTTAAATGAGCAAGCTTGGGAGTTCTCTGTGCATCAAGAGATTTAACTAAAACTAACATAGGCTGCAATGTATTTTGTAGACATGTTTGTAAATAAAAATTATGAATTTCAATTATGATTTTATGCATTAAAAAGCTTTGCAACTGTTAAAAAAAGTCAGTGCAATCACTAGCGATAAAACAAATAGTACTATGGCTATTGAAATGTGTTCCTATATTTACTACAAAAGCTGCAACCTGGAAAACTGCTAATGAAGAAACAACCACTCTTTCTTACTGTTTCTTTCAAGCAGCAATGGTAGGGAAAAAAAACATTTTTTTTAGTGTAGTGCTTTTAAGAAACTATAACCAGTTTAATTACAGTAAAATCACCTCAGCATGTGAATTCAGATATTTCCTCCATGAACTCAAGATGAAGAGTGATCACATGAAGCATACATCATCCATATGGATTTTTATGTTATGACAAAGCTGAAAATAAGGGAAAACTCAGTTTACATGAATAGCCCTTAAAAATGGCTATGTTTAACCTTTTAATATGTTACATCTTAGAGTACATTACCAATAAAGTTAGTTACTTTAGTTTGTGAAAAACACAATAATAAACCACGGTTAAAATAAAAAAGGAAAAAGAAAACATGATGTAGAAAATCCATTTGGTTTGAATCATTTAGCATCTTAAATAAAAGACTTCAATGAAACAAGCTATGTAACAGACTACTTAAGGGTCAAGAATGCGTTTTGTTTAAATGCCTGCATGTAATGAATGATACAGATAAGTCTTAGGTTAGACTCCCAAGAAGTAAGTTACTCCAGAGTGTGTTGCTGACCAAAGAAATGCTTAGTCAGCTATAATTTAGAAACTAAAACCTAGTAAAGAATGACCTTTGCATATTCCAATGGAGAACATCTAGTTCAGATTTTCATCTGGCTTTAAAATACTAAGTTCGGCAGAATCACAAGTTTTATTTTAACCATACGTTTACAAAAAAAAAAAGTGATTCATACATCAAACCTGGGTTTTCCTTGTTTTTAATATATTAAAATGACATAATCCAATCTAACTCATGCATCACTTTCAGGGACACAGCGTGACTGGAAATATTTTTGCCACTGCAGAGGACATTTCTAAAAAAGCAACTGCCTATGGGTGCTCCTGCACCTTCAAAATAAAAAGAAACAGGCACCATAGTTCTCTAAAGATGGCTGTGTTTCGCACATTGTGGAAAAACAATAAAAATCGCCTTCAAGAGTTTCAATATGCATTGTAACATAGATTTCATCTCCTTCAGTTTGCTTGCTGACTTCTCGGATCACTTAGATCACCTGTTTTCATTGCTTCTTTGCTAACTGCTGTTGGTACTTCGTAGGTATACATTTTTAACTTCTGTAAAGAACATTACGAGCTATTTCATGTAATTTAATTTTGTGCTGAATATTCTTCAAAGGATTTTATAAATAATATAATATTTTAAATGAGTCTTCAATTCGCTTGTTGTTATACCATATTGTTGCTTTCTCCAACTTTATCTACAAACTGTAAGAAGAAAAACGGACAATTAAAAGTAAGCCTACAGCATTATAAAACATTACATCAACATTTTAAATGTTGATTAAAAGCCCCAGCTTTATAAGATTCATGGAATTTTAAGATATGACTGACAATGATTAATTCAGTACTACTCACCACCATCTTCTGACATGTAAATGTGTCTAAAAAAATTTTTTTTTTCTAAAAGTTGTTTTTGCATGACATGTTATACATATGGCTTTAAGGGTGCAACGTGAGAAATGTGACACAATGAATAAAAAAAAATTGGAGAAAATGAAGTTAAAATTGATAGCTTAACAAAAAAATTAAAAATAAATAAAAAATTAAAAAGCTGAAATGCCAGCCATTCATGCATTAATGAACCCAATAAGATATTTCAACTGACCATTACTGTGGATCTCTTCTGGGCCTATGTAGTCTTTGAACAAACAGATTTAACTCCATTAAGTTCAATAATTAACAACAGCTATTGACTAAAAATACTTTAAATGTGTTCTTGGACTATAGACTGAAAGTGGCAATGACATTAAAAATAGATGTAATGATGCAAGCATAAATTTATAATTATTAAATATAAGTTTTAACACATATTAAATGTAAGTGGTTATTTACTTTGGTTACCCTACCCTAAATATAAAGCAATTGGGCTTTCTTCAGCATTCCAAATGGGTGATGCAAACAAATATTGAAACAAAATAGTGGAGATATTTATTAAAAGTTATGTAACCAGAGTGATTATAATACTATCAAAATCTAGTAATCATCTAACTCTTTCATTTCACTAGTCACATTTTTACTTAAGCAGTAATAGGAAACATAATTTATAGTGTTGAGCATCCATTTATGCAAATATTGAAGAATACTTAAATATGGGGCATAAATAATGATTACAATTCTATAACTAGATAGTTTAGTAAGTTCAAAAGCCATTCTAAGTATAAACTGACTATTGTATGAGTCTGGTGATTAATGCAAATGAAATCAATATATACCCCTATAAGCCTAGGTTCTAACATTTTATATAACCATAAAAAGGTGACTGGCACACTGAAATTAAAAGTTGCTCTAAAAGTACTTATGGATTCATTAGAATTTTAAGGTATATTTAGGTGGAGAGAAAGGTAAGTTCTGGGCTGTATAGTTCTGACTCAACAACTGACTTGAGGATGGAAATGAAATTAGGCTTATAGTGGTACCTTTAGCTCTTTGAGAATTCAATAAATGCTGTGGACCATCTCTCAAGAAACATCTACAAAATCTGTAAACAACTTTTAGAAAGTTGATGGCCCACCCTGAAGAAACAGATTTCACAAGACTGTTTAAAGTCATAGAGCTGTGAACAGAATTTTATCATCTGACACCAAGTATAATAATGCTTTATTCAATTGTCTTAATGCACCTATTTGATGAGACAGTCTAAGAAAATATTCATGACCAATAATGATGCCATTTTTATATTATTGCTTCTAAAATTAGAGATCATATAAAAGTCAATTGAAAAGTGCCTTGAATCCTCAAAGAGAAAGGCTGAATAGCGTATCAATCTGCGTTACATTAAAAAATAGAGAACGATTTTAAAAATGAATACAGTGAAACAAAATTTCAGGTATTATAGGTTTAGCAATGATTATTTTCTCTGGTATTCAAAGTAACCACGGTCTATGTGATGCAACCAGTTATATCATAATAAAAAACATCAATGAATCATGTATCAATTACTCCAACTTCTAGACGTAAAGAGCACCAAAGAGTATTTTGATGATTTAAAAATTATGTTTCTAAATACAGGATACTTACTGATCTAATTCCAGGTAAATTCAAGAGCGAGCCAAGGACTGGCACTCTTCTAATGAAGCCAATGACCACAGGAAAGAAGCCCCTAGGAGAGGGTAAAAAGTTCTCAGAACTTGCACATTCTCAGTTACTAAAGTCAACTGCTAACCAAGCAAAAAGAAAGAATCCTGTTAAAATTTAGAGACCTCGAGCTTCTGTTAACATTTTTTACTTCTCCCAAGATTTGATTTCTTCCTTAATTATGTTCCTATAATATTCTGCATATATACCTATATTGGCATTATTACTATATCCTCTTGGTATCTTTATCTATGTCTCAGAAATGAGAGAAACTCTAAAATAGATCTGGCACTTAATTCATTTTCATGTCTCCTGTGGGTAATATGATGCCTGGAAGATAGAATACAAAGGATATACATTTCTTGAACAAATATTTAAACCAACCTTACTTAATGGTATGCCTACTATTGTTTATTTATTTGGGAACGGGCACATGGAAAACATTAACTGATTAAAATCTCCCACAGTGTATTTGGTGCAAAATTTTTCAATATGTATATGGACTAAAGGAATTGTTATCAAGTGGCAGTAACTATATAGTTATCAGGTTCTACATAGTAAAATGCTAGATCTACTTATGTATCAACCTATCACTGTTTAGTTGATGAAAATAGCAAACATAAAGAGTATCTTAAAAGACCAACAAAATGAATTTTATTAAACTGAAAAGACTTGACATACTGACTTATTGAAAGAGAAAAAAGTTAAATGATTGCCTTACCTGAACAAGAGAAAGAATCCATAAATTTCGAAGATCATGCCTATCAAAGGCCAACCAATAAGGACTACAAATACACCACCCAGGAAAAATCCCGTAGCTTTCATTTTATGTTTTTGGAAAAAGAATCTGAATGTTCTTTCTAAACCAATTACAAAAGCCAAGCCAGCCACAAATAAAACCTAGAAGAGAAAGAAAATGCAATACAGAAAAAGTAGTTAAGCATACTACATAAACTTGAAAAGCTAAATATAAAGAGAAAATCTGGCTTTTAACATGGGCAACTGGCCAAAGAAAATGCACACCAAGAAGCAGAACCGAGGAGTGGGCTAAGCGTGTGAAAGTTGTAATTGTATTCCACTCTTCTTAGTCATTGTGTCTTGATTAAGTGGAGAAAGAGATAAACAATTAGGAAAAATTAGATGTTACTAAGGGACATTTGCACCTGCAGTGTTTTCCCAAGTTTAGCTAGATGGAGATGGCTCGGTCAAGTAGATGAGTGGCGAGGCAAAAGAAAGAAGCTGCCATAAATGTCACTGGAAGGTACTGCTGGTTCTGAAAACTCCACCACGGGCTATAGGAGCTGCATGGATGGGAGAAATGCTGATACGGCCAAAGTGATAGAAGAAGAAACCATGCAAAGCCAGGAAAAGGATTCTAGTTTTATTCCAGAATATCTGGTGGCAGCAGAAATAAAAATATAGCCATATTCTCAAAAATACATATATTTTGCATGTTTTCAGACACTGGACAAGAAATGGTCATCTATTAAAAGCTTTCTTTTCCCCATGTTTTACTCCCCAATACCTGCCTTTCTTCATTAGCTTTCTTTAGTGAAAATTATTTCACATAAATATTTATTAAGCCTAAGGTTAAGCTTCATATTGAAATACCAATGCTGTTTATATTATTATTTATTAAAACATCGATTTTGAACAATTTTGTTATCCTTTATATTTACCAATTTCCAATTAAAAGCCCAATGGTAACATATACTTTAAAAGATATTTAATAATTATTTAGGGACTTTATTAACCTCTTAGAAGTTATTATTTATTTCTAGAACTCTAGTACAACCTCCACACATGGACAACAGAGTACACATTCCAAATAAACAATATACACCTTTCTTAACAAGTCACCTATTAATATAGATATATTTTTAAAAGGCTTTAATTGTTTTTAAAAAATCTTTTTACTTTATGGTATTGAACCGAGTGTGAAATCTTAGATGTTTCAAGTCAAAACATATTAACAAATTTACCAAGAATGGGGGCTATCAAGTCATCTATTTTGAAGTTCTATTTAGAAGCAGCCTTGATTTAATCTATTGTAAATCACATATCAAACACTTAACAGAGGAGTCATGGAATTAGAAAAACCTCATTAAAATAGTTACATTTAAACAAAAACCTGATGGGTTTAATTCCTGATGGAAACATAGGATGTAATAGGAATCTTTCTTTACATGAGTAATAGTGAATTATTTTCCCAAAATTTAATAGCAGGCAAGAATTCATTTGTAGTTAAAATTTCCTTTTGAAGTTAATTAAAATACATACTGAAAAACTTACATTTCCAATAGCCAACAGTGCTTTGTCAAAAAAGAGAATCATTCCGAAGAACAGGAAAAACACTCCAAATCCTGTTAATCCCATTCCAATTTCTGCAATATAAATTACATGGTTAAAGGCTGAGAAAAATGAAAGTTACATTAAAATCCCTGTAAAGTAAGTATGACAATTTTTCAGTTTTGGTTGATATAAGGAAATAGGTTCCCAACATATTGCAGGTTAACTTTGTAATGCCATTCACTAAGATCTATAACAAATTAAATTAACATCAGCAAATTACCTTGAAAAAATTTTTTTTTATAAATTTATTTATTTAAATTAGTTTCAAGTATACAGTACATTGGTCAGACATTTATAATGTTCATAAAATGATTCCCTCAATTGCTCCCTCCCTCCCCTGGCCCTCCATTTAGTCACCATATTAATGCTAACTGCATTCCCTCTGCCATGCTCCCTGTGCCCAACTATCAATTACTAATTTGTACTTCTTTAACACTTCACCTTATTCTCCCAGCCTCTCACCGAATTGTCCACTATATTTGTGTTACCCTGAAATTTAAAATATGAACGTAAACTTCTAATCCCTATATGAGACAGAGCATTTCTTACAAACATAAACATAATAGAGATAAATCAGGGTACTAAACCTTTGGTTATACATTTTTTTTTCTCTCAAGAACACCTCTGGCATCAGACAAATATATGGTTTTACTTTTACTATTTATTTATCTCCTTTCATAATATATGGCTATTATTTGTATGTACAATATCTACAGATCCTTCTTTCCCCTCTTAAAATCAATTTCTTCTTTAACCCATTAGAAATGTTATGGTAGGTCAGTACAATACAATATACTTCATTTCTACACTGCTTCTCACAATGGCAACAGGAAATATTTTGGGAATCACGTAGCTGTCTCCTCAAAAGTTAAGTTTCAAAAAGTTAGGCATCACTTTTAACTTCTTGATGGTTTATTATGGATTTATTCTACAAATTTATCTAAACAATGAATCCATTCAGATATTTAGTCTGAGTCCTGAAATCATTTTCCAAAGTTTATAAGAACACTGTTTTATCTAATATTAATATTCTGAGTTTTTACTCTTTCATTTAAAAAACAAAGAATTGTTGATCAACTCCTGGATAATTGTTCTAAGTGCATACACAGTGGTGGACAAAATGTAAGCTTTGAAGTCTATGTTCATCTTATATATAAAACTAATAATTTTATTGCCTTTATGTAAAGGCAGAAGAGTCATCACTTTCTAAGATTACAGTTTCATTTTTCCATTAATGCTAGAAAGCACGATCCACTAAGTCATCTCCCTGATCATTTTAGTTTTGTTTTCAGGAAATAGTCACCAATCTTTATTTAACCTAGAAGTACTATCTGCATAAAACAATGAAATCATCATAATTTTGGATTTAATCATTGGCTGCTGACTTATTTGAATATGACTAATTTCTATCTTTCGCAAATTATTCTGATTACAAGAAATTTTTGAGATGTTTGTTCAGAAAGGAAATTATATGGAAATACAGCTACTATGTATTGAGAATTTACATGAAATAGCCATTAAGAGGTACTTTACATACCTTACATAACTTAACCCTCTCAATGCTATTGCAAGGTAAGTATCTTTACATTGTTTTAGAGATGCAGGAAATTGAGCGTTAGAGAATTGACTTAGTTTGTCTGAAGTCATACTTGTGGTTAAGCATTTGAACTGGTCTATTTGAATCCAAAATCTGTGTAATTAACCATTATGCCATACTGCTCCCCACAGAATTTTTTTCAGGTTTATTATGTTTGGTTAAATAAAGCTCAAGGTCATCGGAGTATACTGTACTTCTGGGGGAAGCATCTTTAGGTGATTCAATTTTTTTTTTCCTTCCAGATATATTCTATTTTATTACACAAGTAGTTGAGAATTTTCTAGTTATCTTTTCTCAACATTTTTCCTAGTTTATTTCCACCGTGTTCAGAGAACATACTGTAAATGAGTTCAATGATCTAAAATGTTGAGAAATACTCTTAGCTTAATTTTGATTAATATTCCATATGCACATGAAAAGAATGGGTGATTTAGGTTTAATATTAATTTGTTATCTAATATAACTAAGTAGATATTAGTAGAACTATTAGAAATTGACTTTAGTGAAAAAGGATAATGTCTGAATATTGTTTTACATTTAACGAATGTTTATACAAATACACTGTAATTGCTTTAATAAAATTGTGAGGTAAAAAAGTAGCACCAGCCCTACATTTCATATGGGCACCAAAGGCTCACAGAGATTCGTGACTTACCCTTGACCAAAGAGCCAGCAAATGTGTGTGGTGGTGGGGGGTGGGGT